TCCAATGTTATTTCGTTAAGTTTGATCTCATCCAATGTGATCTCGTTCATTTCGATTTCAACCAATGTGATCTCGTTCAGTTTGATCTCATCGAATGTGATCTCGTTCATTTCGATTTTAACCAATGTGATCTCGTTCAGTTTGAGCCCATCCAATGTGATCTCGTTCATTTCGATCTCATCCAATGTGATCTCGTCCATTTCGATTTAAACCAATGTGATCTCGTTCAGTATGATCTCATCTAATGTGTGTATAATATCAAAGTCAAATAAATTCACTTTTTTACTTCTTTTTCTATTGTAGACATGTGAATATATTCTTAAATGAAGAATCCATGAACCACAGTTCAATTGAAGGCAGTATGTTCATTCATTCAAATATATCAAGTGGGCCGCCTGTGCAGACTTCAATCATCAATAGGTTAGATAACAAATAATCATTATCAATAAATCGCAAAATTATGTTAGATGAACAACCAATTGTAGCCTGTTGAAAGTAGAATTTGTGTATGATCTTACTGTGTCAATGATTTTATATTACAGATTCCTTGAACCCGATCATGGAGACAATCGTGAAAAACTGAATATAGTTTATATCAAATCGCATAAGACGGGAGGGACTACCGTATCGTCGATACTAAATAGGTTTGGCTACAAGAGAAATCTGTCATTTGCAATGAACTCTAACAAAAATTGGAACGGTCATTTACGAGAGTTGCCCTTGACTAGAGAATCGCCGAAAGATGTTCTTCTGCCATCGTTGGATGGTGGAGACGATTGGATGAATTATCGGTATAATATAATGGACATACACGTACGGTACAACAGGAATGTTATGGATATGTTGATGATGGGTGGAACTAAGTACATTGCTCTGTTACGTGATCCAGTTTATCAACTGGAGTCTGCATTTGACTTCTTTGGCCTTGCTTGGGAAATACGCAGCCTTCGTAAAAAACCCAACGCGTTTCAGCTTTTTATGACAAACCCAGACAAGCACATGAGATGGGCGAGCAAAGCACGCCGCATCGACTTACGTAACAACCAATTTCACATGTTGGGCTTGGAGAACAAGTTTTTCAACGATGTACCGTATATAAAGACACGCGTAGAAGAACTCGACCGGGAATTTGATCTTGTAATGATACTCGAACATTTCGATGAGTCACTCCTTCTGTTGAAGAAACTTATGAATTGGGAATTTGAGGACATTCTGTACATTAAGAAAAATCAACGCCTGGCGCGATCTAACATAAATGAGGACATTTCTAAGAAAGTGCGGAAGTGGAATGCGGCAGACGATATTTTGTATAAGTACTTCGAAGAGAAGTTATTGGCAAGAATTCAGGAGTATGGCGCGTCTTTCAATAGTGATTTGATTGAATTCCAACGTATGAATGAGATTGTATTCGATCGATGTACTGGCGGGGACGCGACTAAACAGCATAACAACAAAATCTTCGAGTACAACACCAAAGAAGATACTGACACATATTGCAACAGTTTCGTATATTCTTTCAAAGACTGGGTAAACATAATTTGGGAAAGTCAGCATCTAGATGATCCTACAGTCGAGTCTTAATGCACCTGTTGCTTCTGCGCACAGCACATGTGAATGTGACAATGAGCAGATATGCCACCTGTCTTTCTCTATATAAATCAACTAAACAATTTGTACATATTTGACTTTTACATAAGTCTATTTGAATCGCACAATTTGTAGCTGTTTGTTCACAAATATGTGCAACAGAAACTATTATCTGTCTCAACTCAGGAATAAATCAAATGTTGGAGTTTCTGCCGGATTTCTGATCCTCTCAATGTACTGTAAAATCATTTATTTTCACTGGCATATAATTTCACCGTAAAATATACTGTCATCGAACTACTGTATAGAATTTAGTCTCATGTTGACTATGTCCCAGACAGTTTACTTACCTGCCTTACTCATTGTCAGTGTCTGACTGGCATATAAAAAATGCGATCAAGAAAACGTCAGAATAGTAAAAAAAAAATGTCAGTTGCCCAAGTGAGCCGCGGAACCACTACAATCTGTCAGCCGTCGCCGCTCACAGCAGCGATATGATTTTACACATAAAAATTAGGAATTGCAAGTAAAGTCACATCACATTGAAATGAACACTAATTACAGCTATCCCGGCCAGCAATCGAATCATCAATCTCTATGAGTGATGTAACTGGTATTTCCATCTAATATCACACTATCCTTAAAATGCTAAATGAAAGTTATTCGTGAGTGTGCGTATTTTCGTATATTGGCATAAATATTTACACAATCCAAAACGCACTGAACGGGAAGACGATCTTGGTTAAAATTGTTTGATTGGCATATTAAAATACTTTATCAGAACGGAACATGTTTTATATTCACCAAAAAAACAACGTTGCTGTGTTTCTAGGCACACAACAAGCTAAAGAAACAAAAGAAACCGTTCGATCCGAACGACCTGCGCCTTTAAAAATCAGGTCTTATTGCTCTTACGTTTTCGAGCGAAAAAACGTCAAACCAAAACGATTCGCTCTATGATTGTTTGATAATATCATTAATTCAGTCCAGCGTTTGGATAGGTTATTTATTACCTATGCCCTGGAATCGACAATTTGCGATGTAAATCACCCCGGCGACGAAATAGGCGATAATAGCCTAGATAATAAGGGGTGAGGGACTAAATGTTTTATATACAGGGTATATAAAAACGTCTTACAATAACTTTACAATAACTGAATGATAATAATAATAATAATTAACGACATAAAATAATTGAAGATTGATAATAATTATAAATAAAACAACATAAATTAACTGAATAGTATTAATAATTAACTCCCCCTTTTCCGATAATTGCCAAATACCTGTCATGATATGTAATCAACAAAGTATGTTAATTATTAATTATTAACAAGAAGTCCTCATTATGCAAATTATGTGACCTTGTTTACTTATAGTTGTTTGGAGTTGAATAAATCAGTTCTTAGTAGTAGTAGCTAGAGACAGTGTCTTTGTCAGTTACTAAGAATGACATGGTGTCAGAAGTGCAGATTGAGCTGAAGAGAAGGAACAAAGGCAGAGTCACCCAAGGTCAAGCTGTAAAAGTACAGAGAACAAAGGAACTCACAACAAGAAACTTTTGAAAAGATCAGAGACGACTGAGAAGTATGTGTTCCTAGAAGTCATTCATTGTAAATTATGGCACAAAATAACCAAAATGGATTTTACCACTGAAGGCAATAAGGCTGGAAGATGGAAATCATGAAGGAAAACAGTAGAGTTGTCTTTAGATGTTAGTATGGCAGACAAAACTGAAGCTGAGTTATTCAGTACATCATAGCCCCTGAAGCTAGGGAAATCTTCGAAACTGAAGATGATGACACAAACACTGTACCAAAAAACATCATTTACAAGTTTGAACAAAATTCGTCTTAAAGAAAAGTTTGTAGTTCTCGCCACAAGTTTAACACTAGAAATCACGGAAGAAATGAATTCATTGATAATGAAGGTATATATTGTGATCAAAGTAAAGAAAAGTTAATGCAGAAACAAAATCCAAACCTAGAGAAAACACTTACCATATGCAGAGCTCATGAAGAGCTAATAAAAAACAGGCATGATCTGGTGAAGAAACCAGAGTACATAGTGTTAGAAGAAGAATTACACAACAACAACAACAACAACAACAACAACAACAACAACAACAACAACAATGGCACGAACCAACAACAAAGCCATTATTATTATGTGGAACTGTCCAGCATATGGCAGGAGAGGTCTGAAATGCCGCAACATGAATGAATGCCAAAAGTACTGTAGATCCAACATCAGTATTTATGGATTAAATGAAGAAGAATCAGATACTGAATCCAGCACACTCTATGTTGGAGCCATCAAAGAGAAATGCAACACCGAGGTCGAAGAAGATGAGTTATATGTATCAACTGACATTCATGGCACAGATGTGAGATAGATTTAAAATAGATACATGATCTCTAGCAAACATCATACCAGTGAAGATATTCAAGAACATCGGTGACTCAAGCATTCAAATTCAGAAGACTCGCATTACACTGACAAGTTATAGTGATGACAAATTACATGGAAAGAGTTTGGATTTCTCCGTCACAGAGTGTGACCAACCACCTTTACTGGGATTTAAGGCTTCACAAGACTTAGGGTTTAATCAAGGTCATGAATATTAAAGAAAAGAAGAAAACCATGATAATGAACAAATTTCCATAAGTGTTCAATTGTGGATTAGGTTGTCTAACTGAACCACATCATATCGGGTTAGACACATCCGCCATACCAGTAGTACATCCACCAAGGACGATACCAGCATCCAAAACACTGGATGATATGGAAAAAACAGAAAGGTAGATGAGCCAATCCATGGTTGTTGTGGAGAAACCAAAGACTGGTAAACTACGCATATGTCTAGACCCAAAAGACTTAAATAAAACAATCAAAAGAGAGCATTATCAATAGCCTACACTTGAAGACATAACAACACGCATGTCTGCAGCTTTCTCAAAGCTGAAGCCAACCATGGATACTAGCAAATACCACTTGACGAGTCCAACAGAACAACCAGGCCCTGTGTTAAAATACTAAGATGTCACTGAACCAGTTACTGTTAGTTTTGATGCATCAAAATCTGACCTAGGAGCTGTATTTCTATAGGAAAACAGACCAGTAGCTTATGCATCTTGATCAATGACTGAAAGTGAGACCAGATATGCTCATATTGAAAAGAAGATATTGGCCGTAATGTTTGGTTTGGAGATATTAACCCAGTACACTTTTGATAAGACGATCCATGTTGAGTCTGATCACAAAATGTTGGAATCCATCATGAAGAAACCACTTGCAGCAGCACCAGCAAGACTGCAGCGAATATGACACATCACTGAGATACAAACCAGGGAAAGAACTAGTCACATCTGATACATTGTCAAGAGCTTCCTTATTACCTAACTCAATGAGAAGTAATGACAACGGCATCGTATGGATGAAGAATTGTTATATGTCGTGCATCATCTCATGTAAAATCTGCCAATGTCAGTTGAAAAGTTGCAAGTAGTTAAAGGAGAAACAGCAAAAGATGTCTCTCTTAAACATCTTACACTGTACTAATGTATATTTGACGGAAGAACAAGTCACAACTCCATGTCAGTATTAATGAATACTAGAAGCATCAAGATGAACTAACCATCATTAATAGAATAATATTCAAAGGAGAAAGAATATTGATTCCACAAGACAAGAAATGTTGAAATTAGTATATATAGGTCATAAGGGGATAGACAAGTCAAAGTACGTCTAAGAGACATTTTGTTCTGGTCTGGAATATCGCAAATCAAAGCAGAATGAACCAATGATACCAACAACAATTCCAAATGGACCATGGCAAACTCTCGCAACTGACTTATGCTAGACAACACTAACTATTTTGTCGTGTTAGACTAATATTCCAGGTTTTTTTAAGTTATGAAACTTGGGAATACTCACAGTAGCACAGTTGTAAACTACACCAAGTCATTCTTTTCAAGACACGGAATACCATTTGAAGTTAAACGCGACAATGGAACATATTACATTGCAACTGAATATCAAAAGTTTGCTAAACAATAGGCCTTCCAACTTGTAACAACTAGACCATATATGAGCCAATCAAACGGTTTGGCAGAGCGAACAGTACAGACCATTAAAAATCTAATCCAGAAAGCAAGAGATGATGGGAAAGACTCTTACCCCAGCAAACTGGAGTATAGGAATCCAACAATTAACGACATCGGATCACCAGCACAAATTCGAATGAGCTGGAGACTGAGATCAACATTACCAACAACACAAGTGCACCTAAAACCAAAAGTAATAGAACCATTCATCCTTAAAGAGAAACTGAGAAAGTCAGACAAGATCGCAGAAAATGTTTTATGATCGCCATGCTAAGCACCTACAAACAGGGAAAAGGATGGGTGATAGCAAATGTAACTGATCATGCAAAAACACCTAGATTATACGACATTGACACTATAGAAGGGAAGCACTAACGTCGTAACAGAAAGCATCCAATGAAAACAAATGAACAATATTATTTTGTAGATGATAGTGACATGAAAGAAGAAACAGAAGTCATACCAACTAGACCAAATAATGAAAGGAGCATAACAAAGACAGCAGTATCAGTGCATAGTAATGCCACTGTACCTGAACTGAAAACAACTAGGAGTAGAAGAGTTGTCAGAAAACCAGACAGATACCAATCCTCTGTGTGATGGAATGAACAAAAACATGACCACAGGACAGAATAATACCTGTTTTTAATTTACTTATGTCTATTGAATAGGATAGTCTACCATATTTCAATATAGGTAAAAACAAGTAGTATAAAGTAGTTAGACAAAGTTTAAACTGATATTAACTGTGAACAGAACAATAAGTGTGAACTGATATGCACTCAAGTAGAGTTATAGAGTAAATAACCAAAAAAGTGTATTTTTAAATACCAGGTTAATTGCTTTCAGTCACGTGATACGCATAAATGAAACTAGGCGAACATTTAACTACTTTGTCGTGTCCGACGGCCTTGCTGCCCTTGCCGTTGCTCAGAGAGTACCGGTAAGTGTTTATTCCATTTCTTGTATCCGTCATCTTCTGAATAAAGATCTACAATTACCACCTGTCTATGGCCTTGATCTCAATTATGACAATCTATTAACTTTTTTAAAAAGCGTATGTAAGAAGATTAACCTTAATAATGATGGGACAACTATTTTATAATATTATATTGACATCGGAGTTTATTGTATAGTATTCGCTCTCTTCAGAATATCGTGTAACAGCGCCATCTGCGTGTTTGGATGTGTAATAATGATTTGCCTGCCTCTATTATCAGCAAGTATGCCAGTGTCTGTAGGTTCCCAATTTCTATCGCTTTCCCAGTCAACTTTAACAGCTCTCGTGAACATTGGCTCCAGGGGTGGGGGTCACTCTATATGCCGTTAATACCCCCATGTGCGTTCCAAGGCGTGAAAGGGCGGTGTTTTCACTTTCTAAAGCGGGCCCGCACGGAAGGTAAATAGGCCCCTTTAAAATGCTAATGTCTGCAATAGGTCCCCGGGAATAAACTCACAGGCTT